AAAAAAAAAAAATTAAAGAATTCCCAAAACACTGCATAATAGGGATGAATATAATGGAGTGAAATAAGGACAAAATTGAATAAGATGATTATAATTAAAAAACAAAGAAACACCCAAAAACCTAAAGAAAGATTTACAGACAGATTCATTTTTGAATTGTTACCAGAAATAGGAAGGGAAGGAAGGAGAACTAAAAATTAATATGTAGGTAACAGATACTGAGTGAAGAGAAAGGCACTAAAATTAAGAAATGGATTATTAGGAAATGTATGTTTTTTAACAATATCTGAATTAAAAACCAATACGATTTCTAAACTCACACTCAAGTCATAATGAAAAGTGTTCCTTAAAAGCTAAAAGTATACAAAAATTAAATATTCCTTGATGCTTCCTGGGCTCACATGTAGTGGAGAAGTGGGAAGGAAATTAATATTTAGATAAAAGACACATAGTAAATTGGGTGAAAGGGAGGACTATTGAATGTTGGAATGTGAGGTGATTAGCATAAAATATTTTTAACTAATTGCTAATACAAGCTGGGTTTAGAAGAGGCCGTGGCACTAGAGACGTTATCATCAATGTCATATGGATTTTGGGTGAAAGCAGAGAGTACCAGAGGAATGTCTGTGTTTCATTGACTATGCATAGGCATTTGAGTCTGGAGATCACAACAAATTGTGGCTAACCTTGAGAAAAATGGGAATCCCAGAACTTTTGATTGTGTTAATGAGAAACTTATACTTGGAACCAGAGGCAGTTTTCAGAACAGAATAAGGACACAGTTGTTATCATGTACCACTGAGTCACCTGTGACTCCTAAGGACCCTCTATATACATTAGCTCTGAACCCTGCTCTACCCCAACGCAATGCACACCTTTCCTGATCCTGAACCATGCAGTGTTTCCCTGCATGGTTCAAAATTAGGAAGGGAGTCTGTCAAGAACGAGTTCTGTCTCCATATTTTTCAATGTATATGCAGAACAGTTCATTGAGGTGGTTGGATTTTATGAAGAGGAATGTGGCATGAAGATTGGAGGAAGATTCATCGACTACCTGCATTATGTAGATGATACAATATTGCTTGGTGAAACTGACAAGAATCTGAATCACTTAGTATAGACAGTCAAGGACTCTTGTCTTCAATATGAATTGAAGCTTAACTTTAAGAAGACAAAGATTCTCACCACTCAGCCAATTAGCAGCACCATGATGGATGGGGATGATATTGAGGTTGCTAACATCTTTAACTTGCTTGGTTCCACAATCAACACTCTTGGCACCAGCATTCATGAAATCAAAAGATTACACAGTTAAAGTCTGCTGTCAGGGATCTGTCTAGAGTACTTAAGAGTAACAATGTCAGTCTGGAAACTAAGGTAAGCTTGATCCAGGTCATGGTCTTCACAATTACTTGCTATGCACCAGAGAGCTGGCCAATAACTGAGGATGACAGAAGAAAAAATGATGCCTTTGAGTTGTGTTGCTGGAGAAGAGTGTTGAACATAATGTAGACTTTCAAGAGAATAAACAGGTCTGTCTTGGAGAGAGTGAAATCAAGTTTCTCCTTGGAGGTAAGGATTGTGAAGCTCTTCCTCACATACTTTGGCCATGTGGCCAGGACGGATCAGTCCTTGGAGAAGGACAACATGCTTAGAATGGTGGTGGGACAGCACAGGAGAGGAAGACCCCCAGATAAGATGGATTAACACAGTGCCTGTGACAGTGGGATTAGGTGTGTCAGAGTAGGTGAGACCTGTTTAGGATAGGGCTGGCTTCAGCTATTGTACATAGGATCACTATGAGTCACAGGCACATAACAGCAGCAACAGTGCTTAGAAATAAAGAGGTTTCATTTAAAAATTTAATTCTCTTTTTTCTTTAAAAAGAATTTATGACAATAAACAGGCAATAATAATGAATTTAAACTGTATTGTGATTATTCCTTTTGGAAGTATAAAATTTCAAACATAAATTCATTACCTTTGAGTTGGAACTGACTCATAGCTGACTCTCCAGCTGATTTTTGGAGGCTGTAACAGGAGAAGGGATTGTGTGTCTTTCTCTCAGAGCAGCTGGTAAATTTCCAACTCCAGAGAGGCATGTCCTTTGGGTTAGCAGTGCCACTCCCCCCGGACCAGGCCACCAGGGCATCCTTTGGTAATTAAGTCTTGCCCAATTTGCCATGTTGTAGTTAGGTACCTTCAAGTCAACCATGACTCCTAGCAACACTATGAAAAACAAATCTGAAACTTGGTCTATCCTGCACCATCTTCAGGATCTTTTCTATGCTCAAGCCCATTATTAAAGTCACTGTGTTAATCATGTCTTTTTTCCAGGAGTGATGATCCTAATAACACCTTCTAGTAGTTTTGCCATCTATGAGATGCATTGCACTGGGAAAATCTGCAGTTAGGGTTCTCTCCAAATTATTGAGGAATAATTATATCAATTTGAGGACTAAGATGCATCTGATTCAGGGCACAGTCTTTCCAATTACTTGCTACACATCCGACAGCTGGACAATGAATAAGGATGACAGAGTAATAATTGATACCTTTGGTGTTGGATAGATCACTGACCATCCTGTGGATGGCCAAGAGAAAAAAACAGATACATCTTGGAAAGGGTGCAGCCAGAGTGCTTGTTAGAAGCAAATGATGAAGCTTTGCCTCACATACTTTGGACATATTACTAGGAGGGGGTATTCCGTGGAGAAGGATATAATGCTGGGAAGTGTGGAGGGTCTGCAAAAGAGAGGAAGACCCTCAATTGGGATTGACAAGGTGACTGCTGCAATGTGCTCTAATGTGTCGGGAAGTATGAAGATGGAACGTGGTTCAGATCATTTGTTTTTAGGGTCTCTATGAGTTGTACTAGATAACACCTAACAACTTTCTTCCACTCAATAGCTCTCACTGTTCTTCCAACAAATTATTAGCAGCAGGACCCATTCATTCTGCTTTGCTTCTAAGATCATGGGAGGTGGGGAGACCACTCAGGGTGGTGTGTCCATAGCTCAGTTCTCACTATTCTTTAATGTCTTACACCTGTCCTACTTTTATACATGCTATTTGATTTAGACAAATGAGAATATAAAAAAAATCCTTATTTTTTAAACAATTAATTTAGTGAAGACATCATAAAGTACCTTTACTGGAATTTTTGGTACAGATATTTCCTTAAAAGGTGGTAAGAAATATACAGACATTAGAAGCCGTTACCATTTAGATAGAATAATTTTTATTTCTTAGCTTTTCACACTCAGTCCACTGGCTGAGTAAAGGAGATATGTTTGTATTTTTAATCTTCTTGGAGTTCCACAATCTTGCGCTGTAATTTCTTTAGGTCTTTCTGGACTTTATGTTTCTCTAATTGCATCTTGGTTTTCTGTATTTGTTGGAGGGAGCTGAGCGAGTCATGAATCGATTTAAATCCTGGCATGAAAATAGACAAACAAGACATTGGAGTAAGACTGGCTAATCAGCAGTCTTGTTACAATTGGTCATCATTTAACCCAAAGCACACTGAAGTCCATTAAGATCAACCGAAAAATGTTTAATAACCTATTTTCTTGTATGTAATCAGCTGCATTTCCTATCTGGTTTCACTGTAAGGAAACAATTCTGTTCTTATCCCTTGTCCAAAAATATTGCGGAAATGAAAGAATTCTATCTTTGAAGAGAGATATAAAATATACTCTTTCTGTAGACTTTGATAAAAAAATTTAGGAGATAAATTTTTAAAAATTTGCTTAATTGGAGGAAAATACCACAAATAAGGATTTAAAGCAGCTTTGAAAGTAAGCTGTCTGAGTGAACTACAGAAAAAACTGTCACAGCATTTTCTCTCTCTCTCTTGTGTTCACAGGAATGCAACCCATGTCTAATTCGAGACTTTTACTATAGTAATCCCCCACCCCCACCCCAACTTGCTGAAAGCATAAAAGAGAACACCATTAATTTGGGTCCTTGTTTCCAGAACTTCCATTTGGTAAAATGCAGAAATATGCATTTTGTCAGTTTCCATTCGTTCTGGGATTGTCCTCATAGCATGAATAAAACTGAACTTCTGATAGTTAAGCAGAAAGGCAGGACATGAATTAAGAGCCAGTGAAGTTTGGAACATAATTCTTGGCTAGAAAATTTGTTGTTTAATTTGGTGGTGGTGTGGGGGAGGTGAGTTAACTGTCAGATTGCAAGCAGTGAATTCTACTTCTGTACCAGGAACATCTGTCAAGGGAAGCCACCTCGTCAGAAGGCCCCTTTGAGACATCGCTATGTGAACTAAACGTTGGTAAAATTTATTAATAGTTTATTTCTTCCTGATGTTCAGAAGACAAAATGAGTTGGGGCTTTCTCTAATAATAAAGGAAGCCTTCTAAATTCCTGGTAACTCCCTCAGAATTGACTGGAGGCAGATGGCTGCTCCACAGCACCTATCTCTAACCCTTCCCTTTTACAAATGAGATGAGCCTTTCAAATTAATCCTCTTTGATGTTAGCTCAGCTTGACATTGCTGCCATTAGCCTCTCGAGAAGAAAAACAGCCATCACACCAGACTTTGCTAATTCATCTCTCCTTGTCACTTTTAAAGGTCAAGTTTCCAGTCTGAGATCTGTCTGGGCTCATTACCTGCAGTTCAGTGAGAGGGTCATTTGGTTTAAGCTCCTATTTTCATGGTAGGTCTACAAATCAGGTGTTGGTGATCTCCAAGGAGCTTTCCAAATATAAAGATGCTGTGATGCTGTGAACTTAGTAAAAATTCCAAAGATGTGGCAGCCCTGTGACACTGCCAGTTATAGCTAAAGAAAGTTTACTTAATTACCTGACTTTCATGGTTATGGTTTGTTGATTGCCTTCGAGTCAAGTACTACTCATAACAACCCTATGAACAAAAGTCCTGAAGCCCTTCTACAACTATCGACATTTATCAAAGTTCATAGAGTTTCCCGAGGCATGTTATTCAAGAAGTGGATGCCACTCCTGCTCCCAAACTTGTCGTAGTAGACATGTGCCATTTAGTTGCCTGCGATGTATAGCAACCCTATGTAGGGCAGCTCTGAACCCTTCCCTGTCCTGAGCCAGTTTCACTAATTCTGACACACCAACCCCTATTGCCCCAGTCACTGTAATAATCCATCTTATCCAGGGGTCTGCCTCTCCTGTGCTGTCCCTCCACCCTTCTGAGCATGACATCTTTCTCCATGGACTTATCTCTCTGGCCACATGCCCAAAGAAAGTGTGGTGGAGCTTCAAAATCCTAGCCTCCAAAGAAAGACTTGGTTTCACCCTCTCCAAGACAGACTTATTTGTTTTCTTGGAAGGCTATGGTATGTTCAAGACTCTTCTCCAGCACCACAACTTGAAGGTATCTATAGCTTCCATAGCATTTCGGTATTCTGTAACATATTTGATAGAACCCAATCACATATACAATGAAGGAGCTGATAACAAGATTGATCCCTGACCATTAGGTGAAATTAGAAAACACTGGCCACCGAGAACAGGTTTTCTTTACTTAATAAGTATTAACTGCTCACCTGATTGGTATTCGGTCTGCATTTTCTCTAATTCATCCCAGATCTGCTTTTCCAGTTGGGTCATCTTTTTGTACAGTTTATTCTCTACGTGTTTTATTTTGTGCAGTTCTGCTTCCCGTTTCTGTGTGTTAATGAAATTTTCTAATTTGGTTGAAAGCTGCAGCAATTTTTCTTCAGTCTTATTTTCCAAGTGTTCCTATGAGAGACAGTAGGTGATAAAACTCTGCTGAAAAGAAACACTGTGGAGTTCAGCTTGTTGTTGTTGTTGTTATGTACCGTCGAGTCGTTTGCGACTCATAGCGACCCTATGTACCACAGCCCTAAACCGTGCTCTATCCTGTGCCAATCTCATTGCTTCTGACACACCCATCCTGAGTACCTCAGTCACTGACTGGAGTTCAGCTTAGAGGGAAAAACATGTTTTCACAAATTCCTTTTTGTATGTTAAGCATGAAGATTTAAACAAAATTCCTTTGTGCTTAAACTGTCCACAAGTTTTAGACCATGTTCATTTGTAATTTCTGGGATTCTATAGGTACTGGAGGAATTCCTTAGAGCTATTCTCTGAAGGAAAGGAAGATGTGGTTTGTGTGGCTTTCTTGAAATGCTTTGAGAATTTGGCGTTTCACTTGTGTTAGAAAAGTGTAGCAAAGGAAGAGTTCCCGGAAGCCTGACAGGCGATGTGCTGATGGGAGCGACAGAAAGGAGCCCAGGAACTGTCTTACTAAAGATCCTGGTGACTTCTCCCCCAAACCCAGGACTCTTTACAAGTCTTGGCCTGAAAAAAGAGTTTTGAAAACCTTTAATCAGCTAATTGCCCCCCAGTTGGGAGAGGATCAATGGCTTGTTTAAAGCTGAGGTTTCCAAGCATCACTTGGGAAGCTTGTCTCAAATCAGATTCTCAGGGGAGACTCTGTCTGATTCTCTAGGTCTGTGGTGGGACCAGGAATTGGCAATTAAAAAAAATCTCTTCCAAATATTCTAATACAGTCAGGGCACAAAGAACCAATCCAGTAGTAGGTTTTCAGTTCCTGCTGCTGACATTTATTGATATTGAAATGTGAGGAGAATTTTTTTTTCCCTAAGAAATGAGAGTTAAGAGGTAACAAACAGGAACCTCTGATCCTATCCTACTCTGTTGCTCTTTGCATTATTACCTTACCACTAAAACAGAACAAATTAGTATCAAGGCTAAGTCCTCAGGTGTGAGAATTGCTATGACCCAGGTAAGTGATTATGGTTGTACCTCCAAAAAAGAGTGAGTGGCTGTCCTCTTCCCCCCCCAAATATGTTACTGTTCTAATCCTCACCCTAATGAATGTGCACTCTGGTTTGGGAAAAGAGTCACTGCAGATGTGGCTGACTGAGATGACATCACTAGGGCAGGCCCTGATGTCTTTATGACTCCTAAACTCTCAAACTCATTGCCATCAAGTCAGAACTGACTAGTAACTCTGGTGAATTTGGGGAAGCTGTAACTTACATGGAGCACAATCACTCATCTTTCTGTGAAGCAGTTGGAAGATTCAAACCACCGGAGAGGCACTACCTTGAGTTAGGAGTGCAACCCTATAGAGTCGCACCACCAGAGATCTCTCTTCATGACTCAAACCCATCTCATTGCCATCAAGTTGAAGCTGACTCATAGTTCACTGTCTAGTGACTTTTCAAAGGTTGCTCATTGCATGGGAGCAAATTGTCCCTCTTTCTCCTTCAGAGCCGCTGGTTGCTTCAAACTGCTTGCCTTTGGTTTGTCAGCGCAACTCCTTACCTGTCAGGCCACAGGAGCACCCTTCTCTACGGCTAGTGTCTTTACAAACAGGAAAGAGAGGTACAGAGGGAAGATGGCCATTCAAGGAGAAGGCCAAGATTGCAGAGCTGCAACCACCGGCCAGGGAACAAGCACGGGGGCTACCAGAACTCGGAGAGATTGGGCAGGCTTTCCCCTAAAGCCTTAACAAAGCCCTGAATAGTAACTTCTAGACTCTCCAGAACCGTAAGACAATACTTTCTTTATTGATTTAAGCCACCTGGTTTGTGGTTCTTTGTGTGGAATCCTTAGAAGCTTATTCAATGATGATCAAGTATGTACTTGGTGAAATAATGAAATTCTTTACCAGTTTTTCCTGTAGGAGCTTCAGACAATTATTTATATAGCCGAGCTGGTCTGTTTCATGCTTGATGAGCAGGGATTCTGTCCATTTTCTATTGTTTTTAACTTCTTCATAGAGTTTATTTGAAAGTGAATTAAATCTACGAGGAAAAATACCTTGTTCAGTAATAATAGGTAAACTCAAGCAGATAAAAACATTAGTTTGTTGAAAAAGTTTGCTTTTTTTTCTAATGACTAGGGTCATAGCTAAGCATTTATAAGTTTCTTAGGGTTCTTTAGGGGGTGGTTGGGATTTTGGTGACACAGTGGTTAACGTTGGGAGCTGAAATGCACTAACCACTACACCAGATTGAAAGATAGTGAAGCTTTGTGTCACTTATTTTGGGCATGTTGTTGGGACAAAGAGTGTCTTGACAAAGACATTATGTTGGGAAAGGTAGAGGGTTAGTGAAAGAGTCAGATGAATTGACACGGGGGCTCTGGTAACCTAGTGGCAAGATGCTGTGCAATCCCAGATGAAGTGACACACTGGTGACAGGGCAGGACAAGGCTCTGATCTGTTATTTGTAGGGTTGCTATGGGTCACAGTCGACTGGACGACACCTAACAACAGCAACCAGTCTACAGGAGATAGATGGTGCCGTGTTCTCTCAGTCTTGGAAACCTTACAGTCAACCAGCAAGTCAACCAACCAAAAAAAAAAATCCACTGCCATTCTGTTGATTCTAACTTCGAGCAATGCTGAAGGACTGAATAGAACTGAATGGAGGGTTTCCAAGAGTGTAAATCTTTACAGAAGCTGACGCTGTCCTCTTTCTTCTTTAGAGGAATTGTGGTATTCAACCACTCACCTTTTGTTTAACAACTGAATTATTTAATCATTGTTCCACCAGGGCTCTTTAGAAACCCTATGTTGTTGTTTGTTGTTGTTATGTGCCATCGAGCCACCTGCAACTCATAGCGACCCTATGTACAACAGCTCTGAAGCTTGCCCTGTCCTGAACCAGTCTCACTGACTCTGACACACCAACCCCTCTGCCCCCGGTGACTATATCAATCCATCTCATCTCTTCCTCTCCTGCGATGTCCCTCCACCCTTCTGAGCATTATGTCCTTCTCCAAGGACTGGTCTCTTCTGGACATGTGCCCAAACTATGTGAGATGGAACTTCATAATGTTAGCCTCAAAGGAGAAACTTGGTTTCACCCTCTCTAGGACAGATAGATCAGATATATTCTGTCCTATTTGATACCTGTGAAACATCAGCTCTACATCAATGAGTGGAAAGTGGGAGCCAGAGGACGTGCACTTTACATCATTGTCCTGAACTTGTGTTCAGCCTAGTGGCTCAGAATTCCTATCTACATATTCACCCTGTCCCTGGACATGCATGCACAGAGTGACAAGAGAATAAACACATCATTCAGAAGTACATGTTATATAATTGCAGAGCTACTCCCAGACCTGGAAGCAATGCTTGTGTTTGAGAGGTATACTTTGGTACATCTCATGGGGTAGGGAGTGTGACAGGAGTTGGTAAACTTTTTTTCTGCCAAAAGCCAGATAAAAATATTTTAAGCTTTTTGGGTCATGAAGGCTCATTTTAACCTCTCAACTCTGCCACTGCTGTGAGAAAGGAGTCATAGACTATTCTTAAGCCAATGAGGATGTATAATTTGGTGCCCATCAATAAAATTTGGCTACAGTACGGCCATGTATGAGTATATATTAAAAGATGTAAAAATTCTTCTTAACCATGTGTTGTAGAGAAAACCAAAACCAAAACACACACACACACACACACAATTGGGTGCTAATGGGGCTTAAGGACAAGAAGCTTGCCAGACCCTGCTCTATAGGAACCCGAAAAGGCTAACGAAGGAGCCGGGGCACAGGGGATCAGCACTGTCTACGAGAGAGGAGACAAATGGGAAAACCAAGTGTCCAACGGGGATCTTAAACATTGGCACCATCTAGAAACCATGGAAGTATAAAGTAACAGAGAAAAAAGGATTTTATGAAATGGGTGTGAATATTGTTTCAGTGATTAAAAAGGTTAGAATCATATTTCAAGCCCTAGTGATGCAGAGGTTTAAGTTCTTGGCTATTGTGTAATGGGTTGGTAGTTCAAACCCAGTCTGGGATATGGCAGTCTGCATTCATCATGATTTGCATCTTTGGTAACCTTGTGGAATGTTCTACTTGGTCCTATAGGTTTGCTGTGCTACTCCATAGCAGCAGGTTTGGGTGAATATAATCACGTACCAGCAATTCAGAAAGTCTGTGGAGAGGGTGGAAGTTTGCGCAGAGAGGGATTCGTGATTGGAGAATTAATATAGAAATGACTCAGAGGTATGAGACTACAGAGAGTAGTTTTTGTAGATGTTCTGGTTCTAGTTTCCTATTGATAAGTTGTCAATTTCAAATTCCCTTTTAGAGTTGGGTAAAGTATTAGGTTGGCAGAAACAATACCTGTTGTTCAATATTGAAAATATTTAGGTTACTTTACAGTGTGTCAGTGGCTTGTTTCCTCGAATGTGTTCAGATAAAATTGTTCGCACTGAATTTAGTTTGTAATATTTATCACTGGGAATTTTTTAAACATTCTGGCCATATGCTTCATGTACATGCTTCTCTCATTCTCCTGAAAAAGTCCTTGGACTAATAATTCAGAGAAAAACAAGTTTTGCAAGATCATCTCCCATTTTCAGCAGGATTGAGTAAAGCAAATTAGTGAATACCACCATGGATAATTTTGTCCCCTGGGGGACATTCAGCAATGTCTGAAGACACTTTTGGTCATCACATCTCAGAGGCACCACTTAACCAGGACTCACCCCATACTTCAGAATGTCTATAGGCCAAGGTTGAAAAACTTGATTTAGATGATAAAATGGTAAAAGCTAGATGTTCTCCATGTTTTTAATAAAGTAACATAGCAACCAAGTTCTGATTTTCATCCTTCTGACTCATTTCTTTTGACTTTTGTGTAGGGGCTCCCCCGCCCCAGACAGAAAGGATACATTTGATTTAGATGAGCACATCAGCACTGATAAATTGTTGTTCTTAGTCTGAAGGATGCTTTGGGCAGAATATTGAGTGATCCTGCAAGTATTAAAGGAAAATGGAAAGAGTATACAGTCATTGTACCAAAAGGAATTGGCAGACAGAGAAGAATTTGATGGAACAACATATGAGTAGGATCCTACGGTGATGAAGGAAGAAGTTCAGACTGCTTTGAAAGAATTTACTAAGAATAAGGCCTCAGGAATTGATGGTATACCAACTGACATATTTCAACTAACAGATGCTGCCCTAGAAGTGCTCACCAAGTTGTGCCAAAAATCTGGAGAACAACAGCTTGGCCAGCTGACTGGAAGAGATCTATATTTGTTTCCATTCCAAAGAAAGGTGATCCCACAGAGCATGGAAATTATCAAACAGTTATCATTGGTGTCACATGCATGCAAGATTCTGCTGAAGAGTATCCAAAACTGAGTGGAACAGCACATCAATAGAAAACTACCAGAAGTCCAGGCTGGATTTAGATAGGGCCGTGGTACTAGGGATATTGTAGCTAATGTTAGATGGATCATGACTGAAAGCAAGGAGTACAAGAATGTCTATCTTCGTTTCATTGATTACACAAAGGCATTTGACTGTGTGGATCATAACAAACTGTGGCTAACTCTGAGAAGAATGGGAATCTCAGAACACTTGATTGTGCTAATGTGAA